AGTTAAAATGATGTGGCATTTTCCTTCAAAACAGCTTTGAATTAGTCTCTTTTGAACAGGATAAATTACAACACATGTATGTCAACATATCTTCCTGTCCAGCCAATCAATCCATGCATGCTTTGCGATCGACATTCGGTCCCAGGCCCTTTTTCGTTTTGTTACCGGCGAATTGCTAAACCAAATGCTAAATATACAAACTAAAATAAAGGAAACATAAGTACTATTCGTCCGTACAGTTACATGTAACAAGCAATTTTTCTATAGCTGTGCACCAGCTATCATCGATCGTTTAATAAAAAATGATGCCTAGAAATTGTGTTCGATGCATGCGCACAATATCACGAAATTATGTATCATGCGAACTATAAATTACCTCTGATCAGCCTTTTGGCTTTTTATACTGTAAAATAAATTACCCGAATCTCTCCACGAGTCTCCTTCGCGTTAAATGGCACTCTTAGACTTCCTCTCAAACTTTCTTCCAAGCGCCATCCTAGGTTATCATAATTATACGTCCCTTTTGCACTGTGTTTCGTGGCAAAGTTCTTAATAGATGCCAAGGGGATTGGAAGAGGTTTTGCAAGAATTCTAATGTGCGGAAAATTAAAATTAGCCCTGGTGTTTCGTGTGAAGAATATTTTCAAGACTACAATTAGAATTTTTTTGATAAATCAATAGTTCGCTCCAGTTTTAAGAAAGCTTAATTATACTTTTTTGTGTTTTTTGTCTTTTTCCAGATGTAACTCCGTATTTTTTTTTAATTCAAGACACATTCACCTTCAAAACAGCAATTGTTTTAAACATGTGTGTCTTTCATCTGATACAAATACATCTAAGTTTAGTCTAAGGCTATTTCGTACCTTGATGAATAAAGCTGTACCTAGCCTTTTCAAACTTTCCTTTCTGTAAAAATCCCTTGGTACACGTGAGACTGAATTGTAAAAAGGGGATTTTAATTGCGATTTATCTCTCTTGACCTGTTCAGTTATGACACACTATAAAAGACGAGGCTGGCGGTAAATGTACTTCCGGTGTTTATGGAGTCCAATTTTTACCCAACAAATAAGACGACCTGTATTCAAAGTTCGAACTGATTTTGGTAATGCACTTTTTCCTTTGAAAATCACATGGGAAGAATATTCTACATTTTTGCATGATTTAATTAGCAAAAAAATATTAGAAAAAAAAGCTGAAAATAGGATATGAAAGAAAAAAAATATTTCTTCGCTGCAATTTTGTGAAAATATATTCCTGGGATCCACTTTAGAAATTATTCATTGGATTCTTCGCTAGTCTCAGACCGTAATGCAAAGTGTTTCAGTTTGGAAATTTTGTCTTGCAGAAGGGATCTACGTCTAAGTCTTAGCTTACGTCTCGAGAAAAGCGAATGATTGATCCTCGCACACGTATGTATTTATTCATGAAAGGGTCCGTGTTAGGTTACGCAAGGAACCGTTGCAAATTTGAACCCGTGATAAGGAATAGAATGGGGAAAAACCTTGGTCGATTTAAAAAGCTAAATATTCCGAAAATATGAACATTTTGCACGTAAGATTAATAAAACTTAGTCACTCCTTGTGTGTTCGTTGTGGAGTCTGTGACAGGAACAACAGTCACTATATTCCTGAATCAACTTTCCCTTGTGGATCGGGGTACTCACAGATATGTGGGATGCAGCAGTTTTTCTGTTTTGTGTGAATACAAATCTTCCGCGACACTACCTTCTCATAGTTTGGAGCGGGGAATTTTTCTCCTAAAACTGCTTACTTTTCCTTTTTTAAGTAAGTACCAAATACCAAGCCTTAAAGAAAGCAAAACTCTTGCACAAATCCAAGCAAAAGAACTCCCAAAAGAAGGAAATCTGTTTGGCATTTTGAAAAAAGCAACCAGGCTTACAATCGGTGCAAAAATAGACCTAAGACAGGTAGGGAAGCGGTAAAATAATTTATAACTTGTAACGACGTTTCGTTCCGAACATAACAAGTAAGTATGCTAAATGCTGCATATGGAAAGTAGAAAAACAAAGAAATGTTTATACATGCATGTAGTATAAAAAAACGCAAAGTTCAGTGTCGGCTGAAGAAAATCTATCTAATTGGGCATAATCGATTACGTCCTGTGAACGCTTGACACCACGCCCCGCCATTTTGGATACATCTGGGCATGCGTCTGTGAGTTTCCGCAGGAATACCTCTCAGAATATCGTGGGAGCAAAATTTCACCAGTTGTAGCTATCGAGAAAGAACCTGGGCACGTGGCTGTAATCATAGTGATGCCTTTGAACTCACGCTGTTCGAATTGACGGTCAAGTTAGTACCAGAGTTATCAGTGTTGTGAGCAGATTTGTGATCAAGACTGATACAAAACCTTAGATTTCGCATCTACCCAGCAAACCCGATGGCTAGCCAAGATGATGATATCATCTCAAACGGTAAGATGAATTGAATGTTGTATTGAATTTACCGAAGAGAATATTCTAAGCGGAAGCTGTTGAAAGGTGGGCAAACTTTCACGTAGTAGTGCCGTAAATTCCCGCATCTTTCTTGTGTTACGAAATAGGTAATAAACTTGTCCGTGCAGGTAATCGATCCTAAGTCTCGAAAGATTCCTTCAGAAAATGAGATAAACTTGTTACTCTTGGAGCGAGTTTTCTCAAAGCCAAAATAGCAAAGCGGCACGGTTCACTGACCAGCTTCCACGTTGTCGATCAATGCTTTTATAGATAACCGGGATCTTCTCCAGTTTCCTTTCCTCGTCGGCCAAGGATCTTCATTTCTCCATCGGATTGGCAACCAACAACAATTTCAAAACGTAGATAGTGCAAATTTTGCTTCGTAATGATTACTCCGAAGTTCTGAGAATTTCACGGTAGTGATTTCTGAGAATTAGAAAACATGACATATAATATTATTCTCAAACTTGATTCAAAGTCATAGTTTTTCCTTTGAAATGAAAAACCGATCGCGAGTTATCATGATAGAGAAGCATTGCATTGTTTGTTGTTTGTTCATTGATAAACTACCCAATCTAACGATGGGTGAGTACAGCTTCACTAGTTATTCAATTCATTTGAGAAGATTTCGAAATGCATTGGTGCGTGACAGTTGTTAACCTTGATGTTACAATTTTCTCTCTGTATTTCGAAGTTATAGCTTCCACAGAAGTCACAGCGATAATAAATCGAGAATATTTGGCTGAAATCCTGTCGTTCAGTCGAATCGTAATTCACGGCAACACCAGATTTCTGGACACTTCTTTAGTGCGGTGACATAATAAACTCAACTCGGTCAAATCATTTGGGCTCACCTACAAACACGATCATTAGACATGAACCTAACGCCAAAACATGTATTAAAATCTGATTAAAAAGAGAAGGAACTACTGGCACTTGTGTGTGAAAAGTACAGTGATGCAGAGTGAGACACTTTATGTTTGCTTGAAGCTATAGTAACCCTCTGCACCCTAACATCAGTAAAGGTATTCTCCGTACTGTTCCCCATACATTCCTTAAGGTGCGGACAAGGAGAAGTTGCGTAATAATTAACAGGTTCTTTTGCTGCTTATAATTTTTTTATTCTCATGACCTTACTACATGATTTAAGGGTGATATTGTAAGAAGAAATTAGATGCTGGTCTCTCCTAGGGGTTAAAGGAATAAATGAATCTATTACAGAACAACTCCGGTGGACATCTGGTGACCTTGATGGGGAAGCTCATGGAACGGGTGATTTGGAAATAGTGGAATGGACAGGTTTTAGAGGAATCAAAGAGTCTGTGGAAGTTTCTTATTCATTTGGTAGGAAAAATTTGATGCAAGTATTTAAAAAAAATGACATATTTTTCCGAATATCTCGCAATAAGTTCTCATGCCCAGTGAAAAGAAAAGCACAGTGATGCAGAGTGAGACACTTTATGTTTGCTTGAAGCTATAGTAACCCTCTGCACCCTAACATCAGTAAAGGTATTCTCCGTACTGTTCCCCATACATTCCTTAAGGTACGGACAAGGAGAATTTGCGTAATAATTAACAGGTTCTTTTGCTGCTTATAATTTTTTTATTCTCATGACCTTACTATATGATTTAGGGGTGATATTGTAAGAAGAAGTTAGATGCTGGTTTCTCCTTGGGGTTAAAGGAATAAATGAATCTATTACAGAACAACCCCGGTGGACATCTGGTGACCTTGATGGGGAAGCTCATGGAACGGGTGATTTGGAAATAGTGGAATGGAAAGGTTTTATAGGATTCAAAGAGCCTGTGGAATATTCTGATTCATCTGGTAGGAAAAATTTGATGCAAGTATTTCAAAAAAATGACATATTTTTCCGAATATCTCGCAATAAGTTCTCATGCCCTGCTTTGTGAAGGAGGTCTGGTTGGAAACACACTTCGCCGAGGATGTCAATGACAATAACCGTAACGATGATAGTGACGATGACACTGATAATGACGTCGATGGTGATGTCGATAACAACGACGATAACGATGATGATAACGATGACGATAACGACAATGACAAAGATGACGTTGATGATGACGTTAAACATTTTTACCCTCTTTTGTGTGATTGTAATTTTGAACATTAACACCATCAAAATTTATGTGATGTAAATTTATTGTTTAGATGAGGAAGATTTGCATGAAACTTTGAGAAAACTTGCAGTAGCGATGCCAGATGAAGGTCAGAAAAACGATATATTAAAGAATGATGTAGAAAAAAATTATATGAAACACTTGGAATATGAAAGATATGTTCTGTTAAGCACTGCATCTTTTCAGATTACAATACTCATAATTTTTTTTTGGCTACTTCTTTCTGTAAAAGAGAAGTATGGATTATATAAAGATTGTCTTGGTCTTTGAACTTTCTTTTCACCTCTTCCTAAAGAACCGGAGGAACTTAGGTAACAATTAGTTTCAAAATCGTTCCACGAGAAGTTAATTAACGAAGTCAATAACAGTTATATTCGGAGGGAACGATGTGAACATTCTTGTAACTTTCTCTTAAATATTTGCATTTAAGAGGGCATGGCAGCAATGTTATCCGAAGAGTCTGTTTCTTCTGGACTGGCTGGTTCAACCGGACCAACTTCTGGTTCTTCCCAGCTGCCGGTGTTCTTATCCTATCAGCACAAATCAAAAGAACAAGTTAAAGTGATCAAAAAAGCACTTGAGACGGTGGGGCTTTCTTGCTGGATGGATGAATCTAGTATCCGCCTTGGAGAAAAATTGACGCAGAAGATTGAAAATGGAATAAGGGAGTGCAAGGTACAGACAACATTTTCTTAAGTCTCTGAAGGAAAAAAAAAGGTAAATTGATTTACCTGTCCTTCCCTATAGCCAAAATATAGTGAGAGAAATATCAAATAGTAAAAACCTTGATTGTATATGACGTTCAACTCAGACTTGTAAGCTCAGCTATTACACGGAGCACGAGACTTGACGAGAGTTGTGTTATATTTGACTAAAGAACGAAAAAGAGTAAAAACGAAAACAACGAAAAAGAAAGATTAACAAACAAAACGCCCGAGATTCCTTATTGAAACGCGGGCTAGTTTAAAAATCGGTTGTGGGAAAGGTCTTTAACACGTCCATACATGTTTCGATCATTAGGTCTTCATTAGCTGCGTGACAAAGGATTACTGCGTCTCGGAAATGTGCAGACGTGAAGCCAGTTTAGCCCGCGAATGTAAGAAGCACATCATACCTTTGGTGTTTGAAGATATAGATCCGTGGCCACCTGAAGGCCTTGGTATTATCTTTACTGATCTTCTTTACCTTAAAGTGCCGGGAGGCAAACTCGACAATTTAACCTTCGGAAAACTTTCAAGAGATATTTCGGACTTTGTTTAACCTTCCTCCTGAACCAAAAATGCAAAACATTTATTTGTTCAGATGGGATCCTTTCCACCATACTTTGGTTTTTTGGTTTTTACATTTGTCTGAGTTTCCAAGAAAAGTATCGAGTTAAAATTCTAGACATAATTACATCATTTCATGACATATACATAACAATTGCTTATCTTAGTTGCTATGGGATTCCGCTTTCGACTTTCGTAAAGGTAAGAGGAGTGAGTGGAGTCCAACTCGGTCTGTAATGGTACGAGTGACAAAACGTCACGATTATGATTACAGACTGAATTGGACAACACGAAGTCTTCTTACTAATCGATCATAAAAACTAACATTTCCAAGAAAAGAAGAATAGCCAGGTTATAAAAGAAAGAGAAGGGAAAAATGAAGGGAAAAATTTTTATAGAACACATCCGCTATTTTTGTTACACTTTTCAAATATTGTAATTTTAGTGAGCAATAGAAACTCGCATCAGTTCATATTTAAGCAAGTACATTGTAAAGCTTTTTCGATTACATAGACGACTGCATGCCGATTGCATTGATTACGAAGTTGAGTACGCTAGAGGTCATATCAGTTGTTGGCCTGACCTAGTAATAAAGTCTATTGTGGAACCAAAACGCTGTCATATTCTTGACGACCTTAAAAGCTCGCTGGAAGTAGATCACCGCGTACAAGGAAATCGTGACCAAAAAAAAAAAAGAGGAAAACTTAGATTGAACGCTCGTAAACGCAGAGAATCTGAGAGTATAAATCGTAACTTGTCAGCGGCAGTACTACATGTAAAACCCAGTTGCAAGCAATTTGAACGACATAGGCATTTCTTTACAAATAGCAGATTCGGGCAGCTATCATTTTCTTGTGACAGATAAGATATTTCGAATCATCTGAAAACTGTCAGAAAACAGGTAGAAAATTTGCACAAGATATGCGGAGAGACTTATCACCGCCGCAGTGCAATCGAGTCAATCAATGTTTCCTTCCATGTCTTGATAAAGAAAAAATCATAACAAAGTTCGAAACAAAATATTTAATGAAATCATAATGTCATAATTCCACCCTTCAAACGACTTATTATCCACACGTAAATCGCAACTTGTCACTTGAACGAAACTCCCCATGGTTAATATGCAATCTGGATTGCTTCATGTCCTTCAGGAAAAAGAACAGCGATTTCATCACCATTATTTTCCATACTTTTCTCCCAGATATCTTTTACAAGCTTAAAGAAAGATGAATATAACGCAATCTCCCAGTGATTTACACGAGAGGAAGTCAAAGGTCTCTTTAATTTTCCCCTGAGGTGGCCGGCTCACTAGGAAGAAACAGGAGATCGTTCGGTCCAATAACGTTAGTCTGTAGAGATTATCAAGCCAATAACTGAGAAGATTGTGCCCTTTGGTTCATCAGTGACAGCATTAATTATTTCAGATCTATATTTCTCGGTCCAAGCGACACCAAAAATAGTTCCTTTGTAATTTTGTAAGCACTTTCTACAGCATTTTATCGTCAAGGGAAATAAATCTCAAGGCTCATAGCCAATATAACGTTTGAGCACGTGAAAGACCTTCTGGAATTGATTGTGATGAAATCCCTGTTCCGTTTGCTGTACTGCAGGGATACTGAGTAGTTCAAAATCTCCACTTTGTGATGATTTTCGCGGGAGTCGTACAAATTGCTATTGTGGCCGGCGATTGCGTTTTACATGTAGTACTGTCGCTGACAAGTTGCGATTTCTGCTCTCAGATTCTCATTGTTTACGAGCGGTCAATCGAGGTTTTCTTCTTTTTTTCCGGTTGGTTTTACTTAGAATGCGCGGAAATCTGCTGATGTATCGATAAAATTTCCATTTCTCGTTTTCTTTGGGACGACCGATGGAAACTTCACCGAGAAATACAGCATCATGCCATCGTGATCTGAATCTGGATGATATGCACGCGATTTGAGGTATATGTTTGTAGTTACGTCGAGTAGTCCTCCATGAAGGTTGATCAATTTTTTTTAAAAGATGACAACCAGAGGCGAGATTTCTCTTCGGGATATTGCTCATAAGATAACATTCTTTCAAAGCCTTGCATGTTTCATTTGTCTGAAGCAATTGATCTTGAGAACATTAGATGTAAACATCGCCAAATTATGCAATATCTGATTTTTGAGCTTCGTTCGCGAATTGCCCCTACAAAAAGTAGAGGCAGGCCCGCAGATATTTTTACATATTTAAAAGCTAGAATATTATAACCAGCTAGGTGGGTACTTTCAGTTCCAGAATCGGTGTACTTTTGGAGAAATTCAGATGAACGTTTTCCCTGTTTTACCCGACGACAAAAATGACCGAAACTGTACCGAGATAAATAATCTATTGGTGTGTTCACATTCACTCCTAGGGAAAATTGAATGAATGAATGTGAAGACGAATGATGTTACTATGTATGGTGGAAGTGCCAATTAGTAATGTTATATTTAGCATGAGATAGAGAAATAAATATTACACTCTTTTTTTGCGACGTTTTTGTATGAAAATGAGGCCCCAGGCCTCGAACAAGCAGCCGTTGTTACCATAGCAACAAAAGTGCTGCGACCTTTAAAAAGGGCATTTTTGTGCATCCCCCCTGAGTGGCTAACTGCATGCAAAATTTAAAGGGGGGTTGAAAATTTTCATTTCCCAAGATGTTCGATTCTTACAGAGACTTGTTCTTAATTTTTGTTTGAAAGCATTCAATGAGGTTATTTCTTTTTTCTTGGAGAGGAAACATGCATTTCAGGAAAGCTTATTTACTGCTGTTTCAAGTGAGGTATAGCTTACTTCCCTTGTGTAAATACTTGGTGAGGAATAAATTTTTCAATAATCTGGGTCAATTTTTATGGCTTTGGGGTACAGTTTGGAAAAAAATTCTAATTAATTCCATATTTGTTCTTTTTCAGCCAGAGTCTCTGGATGTCTTGCCCATAAGATAAGGAATATTTTATCTAAGAAATGTTTCCTTTTAACTCAAATCCATTCAGGCTCAGGCTGTTTTTGAGTCAAAAGTTGTACAATAATTTATGCAAATTGTATGCCATTTTCTTAGCATGATTTAAAATCCATGGATTTTTGGAGGCTAAATATATTTTTTCTGAAAAGCTAATTTTGTCCTCTTTCAAATGAGATATAGCACTAATCACTAGTGTAAATACTGTTGACAAAAAAAAATTAGAGAAAAAAGGTTACCATCATTTGTCATTTTTTTTTAGTCAACTATAAAGAGTTAAAGAGGATGTTTTATATCCTTTCCTTGATGATCACTAGACCCTTTCACCCTTACGTGAGACAACAATCTAATTTCTCCTTACAATATTTTCTCCCGAGTCAAATCTTAAGGTCACGAGGTTTAAGCTCTTGATTGTTAGAGAAATTTACCATGTCAGCTTAGGAAATTCATAGCGTGTAGTATGGAGAATATGCATGATGATATTAGGGCATAAATGGTTGATTAGTATTTAACCCCTTATTGTGTAGTTATGACGTGACTCGTTTTGTTTTTTCAGATCGCCCAATCATTCTCAGGTATTTGTGGCTCGACTATGATTCAAGTTGTGCTTTTAATGAAGTGATGAAGTGTAAATAATATTTAAAGCGAAAATATAACAAAGAGAAAAAGGCTAAAATTTATCATCAGTCTCTTATACTTTTCCCATTAAATACGAAAAGTTCTTTCGGCAAAAAGCGTAAAGTATTTAAAAAGCAACTTTGTGTGACTGTTCAATGGGTCGTGTCCACATCTACCTTAAGAACGTACGTCTTACCTTTGAGAACAAGTTTATCATTCTAACTTGTTACACTGGCTTCTTCGAATTCTACCGGGGAGCTGTCAGTGTCTTAGGTTATAATGCACCAGATCAACACTCAGCTTTATTTACTATCAAATATTTGTTATCTTCAAGAGTTCAACTTCCAGGGTAATTTTTTCTCGTCAAGCTAAGCCAAATAACTTCAATGCAGAATTCCCGCTTGCAAGTGCCATCGCCGGATTCAGGTCTTGCTAGACTGAATGGGAAGTACGTGCGCATGCAAATGTTAAATTGCTCTTGTGTCATCCATGGGAAAAGAAATAATTAGAGTGTTTAGTTACTCATAATATTGTTGCATTATTGCTGAATTGAATTTCTATTCACATCAAGACACTGATCTGTTCTTTATACAATAATCTAAATCATCAGCACATCTTTGCTTGATGAGTTCTAGTGTTGTTTTGCGGAGGTGTAAAATACCCAAAGATCATAAATATTCATGATTCATTTGAAATTCAGCAAAGTACTCAAGCCAGCAAACCTCAGCTCATGTTAATCGCTCATTGATGTTTCTTCGCCTAAGACTAACCGTGACAGCCTATTATTAGTGCGGATATCAGTACTACGAGGGAATCATGCATGCCTGAATCAAAACACGAATAGGTATTCATTACGACGTGTAAAGACAGACTCATAAGAAAAGCTCAAAGAGGAACTCGCTCGTTGTGATGAGTTCCAGGGCATCCCCGAAGGCACTTAATTTAATTAAGTCAGACAACAAATTAATTATCTGCAAGTCTCAAGCAGGAAGCCGATGTTACGCATGTGCAAGTGTATTTTATTAAACCTAGTCTTTCACAGCAAAGCAACGATAGATGGAGCCAAACGAAAGTCGTCCCAACTAATTATTTGCGTGTCCGGGTTTCAGCTTCTAGAAAACAAGTAAAACAAGAAACACGTGAAGAAGAAACTCCCGCCAGAAATATACATGCGACTCAGCTCCAACCATTTTTAATCCAAACAGTCAACACCTCTAGTCAATAAGGTTACGCTTCGGTGTTATTTTGATGTTTTCGCGACCAACTACGTACGTGACCTTAAGGCTGAGTTAATCGGAGGGAGAAATTCGTATGAGAAAAACGCACCGTACTCTTTACACGAATTGTTAGTTAATAATTTCCATGATTAACTAATAGTGGCATTTAAGAGATAGGTTAATCAATCAAAACTAAACACTGTAAAAGTTCGCAATTTCTTAAGGCTGGTTATAACGAACGAGGGGAGAAACAAACGATTCACTACTGGTGACTACTTTGTGTCATTTAAACTTTCTTTTGCTTCCTACTTAAGAATATCACGATCTTACCGCAAGAAGTTTAAAACATAGGTTAATTTTAATGGACCGTGACGATATTTGCAAGGCAAAGGATGCCTAATGAATAAGTTGCACTCTTTGTTTTCGCGCTGCTTTTGTTTAAAATCTTCCGAACGGTTCATTATATTCGAATGTAAATTTTATCTTGTATTGAAAAATGATTCACACTCATCATCAGGGTGGGGTTGGAGAATGAATATCTTCTGTTTATTATTATTATTTTTGTCATGTTTTCGTTCCACAAAACAAAAAAAAAATGAGTAATAATATATTCACAAAACGAGGAAACATTTATTGTAAGTTACTAGACTAAGTTTTTATTTGAAAGATGGAATAAATTTTATAGGAAAAAGAATAACTCAGTGGAAGTGGTTAACACTTTGAGAAACACTGGTAAGTTTTGTAGAAAGAATCCGTGACCTCTGTCTGAAGAAGAATGCTGAGACTATAACAGATCTGAGTAATAATCAATTTTTCTTTGAAGAGCGTCGTAAGAGAGCGTCATAGCAGTGATAACCCAAATCAATAGCATGAATAATCAGGGAAGCATTTTTTTTTAAAGGAAATACGCGTTTTTTTGCTGACTGTTACACTGGTGATTGAACATCAACTACCTCTAATAAGAATTAATAGGATTTTTACATCAATCAGATGGGAAAGATTTGTTAGCTACAATCTATAGACCTAAGTTTCCGCTTTTTTGTTTTCCCTATTTATCTTTGATCATACGGACGCAATGGTGAACTTGAGCTAGAGAGCTAGTAAAATCAAATTTCAACATAGGAGAAATACGCTATTTCTTGAGGCTGGTTACAACGACCGATCGAACATATAAATAACTCTCTACGTGTGCCTCTGTTATGTTACTTAATCTTTCTTTTGCGTCCGACGGACAATAAATGACGTATACTTAAAACAGGATGTTTAAACACAAGTTGATTGGTTAGACCGTGACGATACATGGAAGTCAAAGAATACCTAATATGCCATTTGATTGCAATCTGCTTCTCTTTAACTTTTACTAACGGTCTGATCTTTTCTTGTTACAATAAATCAGGCACATAAACAAGAGCGTTTTTTTTTTCTAGGGTGAGAATGGTAAGGGAGGGGGTCACCGTCCCAGTTTGAGTTTTGTTTGAGCATGAAGTACAAGCATAAACAGATTTTTCTAATTGTCAATGCATTTTTATTATTCCGATTCATAACTAATAGAAATACATTGAAGAAATGTAAAATGGTTTCCGTGTTTACATAGCCTGATGTAAACACTTGGGAGGTTGGGAGAACACGAGATAAGCGTAGGAAACCACGACGCGAAGCGGAGTGGTTTCCAGCTTATCGAACACGGAAACCATTTTACATTTCTTTTATAAAATAACTAATGAAAGAGGAACGAAAACCGTGTTTACATACACTCATGTAAAATGGTTTTATGGCCAATCAGAGCGCGCGTACTATTTGAATTATTTTATAAAAATACATATTTACTGGTAATGAATCACTGATATTCCGAAATTCGACATAAACTATCAGTGTTGGACTTGGAAATTAAATACATTCGTTCTAGTCCAACATAAATAATTGAATAAATATATATGAAACAATAATATTCATTGCAATTCGAACCATTTTAAATCCTCTTGCACAGTTGCATGCATGGGTTTTCTTACTCGTCTCTTGCTTTCGAATCCTAAATCAATTGTGCACCACTCTTGTTTGGAATGTAATTTGGAGCTGTAACTTTATGTACACTGCTAAGACAAGCAAAGCTCACGTTTTTGCAAACAATTTCATAATAGCTAAGGCAGGTGCATTACCACGCCTCACAGATCTGTTTACTTCGCGTAGACGGTGTCTTTTTGGCGCTGTAATTTTTCAGGTATGACGCATCTCCTTTGTTTCGGAGGACAGAGGTTTTGTTCATGTCTAGGTTTTCCACGAAGTTTGCAAAATGCAGGTCCTTATCAACGAAAAGTTTTTTTTAATTTATTTCATTTTTATTTTTATTTTTTTTTTACTCTAACTATAATTTGGCCTTAAATAAATATATATTTTTTAATTATTATAACCACACAAAGAACACTATTTACAACATGATACTTACATTAACTACATTAAGAATCCTTTCGCGGGACTCTCTACGTACATTGCGTCACACTACTTACTTACAGTACTCTTACGATACAATTATTCGAAAAGTTTTCTTTCGTGTACGGTTTACCATATCCAACACTTGCTGGCATCATTGCAGCAATTAGGAAAAAGGTAAGCTACGTACGACTAGGTAAAAGAACAAAAAGAAGAAACGAAATCAAATGAAAATATGCACGGCACAATTAAGCTGGAAACGAAACGAAGATCTAAAAGCAATCTCAGCGCGTGCCTAAGTCATCCACTCCTCCCCTCGTATAATATGCATAAAAAGTAAACCTTCGAGGCAAATCGAGATCTCTATTTTTAACAGGACTTTTAGCTGTCATTTTTGATCGATAGAGGATGTAGGATACGTACATGTATCAAGCTCCAGTTAAGGTCACGGGGAGTTATGAAAAAAGTATGCGACACTTCATATTTCTCTATGTTTACTACTTATTTTATGTTGCCTTTGCACTAAAAAGAATCAATTCATTCGTATGCAAGAAAACATATATTGTAAGTCACTAGCTTTTAAATTGAGAGTTGGAAGAGATTATATTAAAAAAAGTGTAACTCCCTGGATATATTTAAATCGTTTTGGGAGACTGGTAGGTTTTCAGAAAGGGAAAAATTTTCCACACTTTAGGAGTCTATACATTCCTTCTATGGTGATTGAAATTAAGGGTGAGAAGAATGAATGATTGGCTTATTGAACTGTCCGATAACAACTTGGCGAGTGAATTAGTAAAAAATAGGAGTTTTTTTTATCTAGTCACAATTAAGGAAATTGTAATTTTTATGATTAATAATAAAATATCATGAACATCTCAATTCTCTCAACATCCACAGTTTACCGTCTGCTTGACTCTTTCGCCGGTGCTTAACGTCACCCATCGATATTCAGATGGGAAGCATTCTGCAAACCCATAATCGGGTCTATTCCGCAGGCATCTGAAGCTCGGAGACTGAATTAAGTGCGTGTCCACGAGAGCACCAAGTAGTCGTGCTACATGCCATCTCACCGATTGCCAGTTTAAAGGGTCTACCCCGAAACTCAAAATGGCAAAGTGGTTTCTGTTTTCGTTATTTCCGGGGGGAGATAGACCAACCCCCGGTTTTATTGGGTTTTCACCAAGAAATCGCTTCAAAATAGGTAAAATGTATGAAGCTCTCACTGCAACTGTATTTAACATATTACTCTGACAGTTTGCAGATATGTTGCTATATCCTTAAGGAACGCATGAGACATGTTTCAATTTATTTGATTGACGGTTTGTCAATCAACAGTGCCGAATAAATTACTGTGTTTTTGATCTTTTCGATTCACTCGAATATTTGATAACTTTGAGGTCAAATATCTCCCCTTGCCAGAAAGCTACAACACTAATTTGAATGCCCCTTTCTAATCCATCGTTTCATCTCTGAAAATCATTAAAAAAGTTTTTGGGCGCTGCCATATTTTTGTCTTGGTTGCCTTTTGAAATCTGCGAATCAGGGCGCTGTGAAACGCAAAATCTTAGGGTTCTTATTTATCTGGTTGCTGATTCCTTCCAGGTAGTCTTTCTTTTCTGTTAATTTCTTTTCTAAGTATGCATGTTCCCTTGAAAGATGGATTAAATTGAAATGATCAATTACCAATGATGTGTTTTATCCCTGTCATGTAACTACTATGAGTACCCATGTGTCCTCTACGGTATATGTTAAAATCCGCAAAGAAACAAGTGCAGAAAGGTATACGGAAGCTGGTCGACGAGGGTGAGGAGTGGGCAAAAGGCAAAGCCGAATGTTTTGAAGGGAAAGTCAGTCACTTCTTTGCTTCGAATGACTCTGTTATAGAATTTAACGAAAACAAAACAGATACCGAATTCTTCTCCGAGCGCATTGTCTACGAAGATGTCTATGGCCTAGACACAATTTCAAACGTTTCAAAAGCAAGCCAGTCATCTATCATCAAGTCTGCAAAAGGAGGATCCTTCTACAACATTGAAAAGGGAGATATCATGGAAGAAATGGTCGACAGCCAAAAGGAAGAACTCCTTGAAAGGAAAGCAAAAATAAAAAATGTTACCAAAGTGTATGACGCTGAAGTTTTCTCTACGACCAGAAAGGCCGTCTTAGGCGTGTTTGTGTTGCTCGATATTCTGCTCTTCATATATCGCGGGTCGAAAACATACCAAATTGCTTTTAAATTAATCGAAGGATTTGAGGAAATTGTAAGCCACGACGAGAATAAATTTGACGAAAAACAATCCAAAATCAAGGAAAGAGCGGAGAAACTTCTTCGAAGGACCTTTGACCTCCTCGCTGAGACGTTTTCAAGGTTTATAGCGCTCTGTAAGAGTCTTCAGAAACGCATCATGCGCACAAATCTGCTCCCGCTGATCATGATAATTGCTTTGTCTACAGCTACACTGTACCTTATCGTCACTTTACTTTATAATGTAATGAATGTGACCGTTATAGAAGAACTTGGTGGATACAATATGATTGCTTCTCGTCTGGACACGGACCTCCGCTTCACAAACCTCGCCATAGAAGATCAGGTGGATTTCACCAATAACAATGCACTGGATCAGTACAAGGAATCCGTAAGTGCTTCCATCAGTGAATACAACAGCATGATCTTGGACCTCAACAAGGAACAGCAAGAACGCATGGAACGACTTAGTAGACAACTCTGTTCCCTGGAGGATGACCCGAAAAACTGCTTTGGGGAACAAGGATCTCTTCTGAATTTTAACTTCCACTCCTGTATTATCCCGACACTGGAAGGAACACCTTATGAGGATTACGAAAGTGACGCTTACCGCCAGCGAATTAAGCGCGAATCAAAACGGTTTGTGGACGCCATACGAAATATAATATTGGAGACGGTTTATTTCATTCTGGCGGCTGCCTTGTCGATTTTGATAATCACAGCTCTTAACTACGTTGTATTTCTGTTCTTTAAGGCAAGAGGGATGGTTCGGTTGAAAAAAGTTCACTTGTATAAAGCCCTGCCAGCTGAAATTCTGAAGCAATTTCATTTGAAAACAATGGAGTCGGAAGATGAACACGATGGCAGAAACATACATGACAAACACGGAGATCATCGTAAAGTAACGATTCCTAAAGTCTTCCTCACGGCTTCAACAGAAAGCATCAATAGTTCGCGAGAATCTGTCCAAACCTGCTAAAAAAAGTGTTACAAATTGAGAACCTTTTATTGTAAATATGTTCATATAATTTTTATGGAAAGTGCGTAACGAAAAGAACTAACCTAGACTCGTGTTAAACAATTTTGCAAACAAACCACTGCGCTTCATTAGAAGCGTATAATTTCGGTTCTTTTTCTCAATCATGACAATTATCGTCTTAATTTCATTCTTTTTGTGACAGCTTTTCAAAGAATTCCGATCCTCAGGATCATGACATGTTATCAATTTCCCCAGTTTTTTTTTTTTTTTTTTTTTAGTATTTCGTTTTATTTTGGTCACTCCTCTTATTTTTTTAATTTTTTAATTTTTAATTTTTTTTCTCTCGGCCTCTTTCCTTCTTTTTTCTTTGTCGGGATGCGCGGACAACAGCGAATTTTGTTGTACGTCCAAACAACTGAAGGACTCTCAGCGGCGTTCCCTCTAGTCAAGTTGAGTGTCTCTTTTATTAGTTATGAAATATTGTCTATGTTGCATTTATCGTCTCTTTTCTTATAACAGGGAAAAATATTTTTTTACGAGAGCAGCGAATTTTGGATTGAACTCCTCACCACAACGCCAGAGGACGACAATAATTCACTCGTAAAGATATCTTACACAGCACTTGCGGATAACAATTCAATATTGTTAGAAGTGGTAAGTCTTTTTTAACTATTTATCGACTACCTTGCCACAATCTAGTCCAGTGATATATCATGAACTAACCCCTACCTGCCCAAACATACTTCCAGCTAACCCTCTCCCTTCCTACCTATAGACCTACCTCCTTATCTCTTTACTAACCTGCCTATCTGCTTTACTTTATCTTCCTACTTACCTACCTCTTTACTAACCTTACTAGTCACCAGCCTTCCTCCCTACCCCTCCCTTCTCTCTCTCTCTCTCTTCTAACTTTCTCACCGGCCTAATAAACAAAGTACCTACACTGGGCCGTAAATGTAGCCCCCCCTTGTTTTTGGAAATAATTTAATAAAATAGTAAAGAACAGATGCCTTGAGTCTTAAAACATATTGCATCGCAAAAAGTGTCTGAAAATGTGCGGAATGGCATTAGAGCGTGTCTTGATTTTCAAAAGTCACCGCCGTGGGAGGATGCTCCCGGACCCGCCTATTGGGTTGAGCTCAGTACCCACCATTAAACACCCACAACTGTGCTATCCGTTGTGCCCCCTAAGTTCAAAACTTGTTCATACGGGCCTGCTACTTACTCCCAAATATGTGGTTGGGCCTCCATGAAGCTAAGGCCTCCTTTAACCTGTCACCATCAACATATAAACGCTACCATTTCTTTCTTCAGTACGCGCCCCAAATCAAGCTGTCAGCTGACACGAATGGAACAGAGAAGCTTCTAGTCATAATTTTCAGTGCATTGGTATCATTTTTCGTCCTTGGGCTCATGGTGTCCGCACTGTGTTATTTTTGTTACTGGAAAAAGCGGCGAAAAACAGATGCAAACGAGTCAGTTGAAGGTTTGTGCTTTATATTGACATTCATCTCCAGCGCTTTTAAATCTAAATATCAATTCTAACTGCAGATAATATTTTAGATTAATCGTTCTGCTCAGTTGCAAAACAATCAGAAGAGGATATTTTTGGCATCAATTGTAGCACCAAATTATTTTTGACCTGAACATAATTGTTGACACCGATAAGAAAAAAAGGGACATTTTTTTATACATGTACTCTTCTTGAACAGACATTTCGAGAACCTCCAGCCCGAGTTCTTCGCGTGCCAGTCTGAATAGCGTTGGGCCCTCACCGAGTGGTACACAGTTCTTGGTGGTGGCCGTTTGCGCATGTGCGTTACACGCTCAGCTGCAGACAGCGAACGTGGAAATTACTATTTACTTTCCCAGAGAATTTCTTCGTTCAGACTCCAGAGTTTTTTTGAAGTCAGAAAATAATAATGAAGTGAGAGTTGCAACCAACGATACAAGGCTGAAAATCAACATTTTTGGTGAGTACATATTGTAACTTTGTCTTTCTTGTCTTCATAAGTCCACAATTCAAAAAAAAAAAAAAGAACAAGAAAAAAGTGGCTTGTGTGGTTAATCCTGGTGATTTTGGGAGGAGCCTGGCACCCAGTCTGTCTGTGCGAACGGTCGCTACTAACTGTATAACTTTACAGGATAATTTAAACAGAATATGGAAGCGATCTTCGCCGTAATGAACACCACTTAAGTAGTAGCGAAAATAAGGCCTGAGAAAAATTCTGGCCTGTGCGGGATTTGAACCAAAATAAACCCGTGGAGGCCGTAATTTTACAACTGCTTAAGTAGTGTTCATTACTTCGAGGATCGCTTCCATATTCATTTCTTTATCCGCAGTTCACGTGCATGATGTCCATATATTTACAGTCATACTATAAACTAAGAGTTTGTAACCTCCTGGTTGTTTATCAAAAACACAGGTTTGATGGGGGCAAATCGCCCTATTAGCACTTTTAGAGCAACTTGATTTACTGCAAAGGAGTTTCTCATTCGACTTATCAGCCTATATATGGTGCGTGGATAACAGCTTATCATCTGGCTAGTGGTTAAGAGGCAGTTGCTTGTCCTAAACACAAGGCTGAGTGGGCTACTTGCAACCCTTGAAGTTGACTTGAGGTTTAGAAATCAGCAACAACTTTGCGCATTTGGTATTTGGGTGAAGCTCCCTCGGCATATTATTAAACATAAATAACTTAGGAAAAATTACATGTTTGGTTCTGAATAATGAGATTTTCAAATTACATACATTCTCTCATCCCTTCTTCAATTAGAATGACTTTTTCATGGAAAAGAGATACCGATTGTGTAATTTTCCTGAATTTCTTCAGAAGTTCCCGACGCCGGATTCATTTCTGAGGATAGATGTTTTGATAAAAATACATCATGCATTAACGGTGCCTGTGATCCTCTGGTGGGAAAATGCGTCTGTCCAAGAAGAATGCGAGCTATCAGACTTAAGGGAGGCAATGAAGAGGACATGCGATGTGTGTTCAGTAAGTTGGTCCCAGAAACTAATCATTAGATATATCTGTGGACTGAGTGTTCTATTGATCATTTCAACAACATGATGTAGTTTACTTCTAAGATTTTCGGTTCACCACACAGACAAGACTTGTTTGTAGGAATTGCTTCACCATTTTTGTTTTCTTGAGAACTTTGTGAAGAAAACCTAAAGAATCTTCTGTTCCTTTTTTTTGTTGTTGTAAAGAATGTGATCAAAAGTGCCAGAGTGGTTTCTTTGAAGTTTCTTCTTGCAATCACACGCATCAAGCTGTATGCAAAAGTAAGTTCACTCAAAATATCATTTCGTACAAGTTGTTGATCCTTTACATTAGCGTTTAGTTAAATAAATGCATTGCTATTATGAATATAATCACGATTTTCTTTTACATTGGCTACATATGCAAAATCTGATAAACCTGAGTTGTACTATTTGCAAAAACATGTGAACGATTCATTGGGGGTCAATTGACTAAAATTTTGAGTTACATGCTTACTTCATTTCAATTACCTATGTTTTGCGTTTAATCTTTCAGAGTGTCGTCCTCAGTGCAGTTTTAAGGAATTTGAATCCGTTCAATGCACCGGAAAAACAGACAGAAATTGTACTGGTACAGTCACATTTTAGTTACATGCGATACTGTTTCCGTTGCTTAGGTTATTTACAGTCATGAATCCAACGACAAACGTCTTCACCCTAACATTCTGATTCATTTTATTTTAGACATGTCCCAACTGCCTCACATTCAAGTTTCTCCGAACATTGTCTATGAAGATGTTTTAAAGGTAAGAACAGGACTGAAGGCCAGGGCCCCAGTTGCTCGAAGGCCGATTAGCGCTAAACGAAAGTTAAATTTTAATCGGGTTTATTTATTCCTTTATTCAAAAGCCTTTTTGGGATAATTTCTTGCCTTCTCTTTAGAGCATCATATAATCATATTCTAGACAAAAAGAATTCGACTGAATTTTCTTTTAAGCTATCAGATCTGAAATCAGATTTCACACTTACCCTGGGTTATCCTAATCCAGCTTTAAACAACCCGACGGAGTATTGTATTTTCTCTTTTGTTCAGTATCGGTGGCCATATGCTTAAGTAAGCGGTTATGATCACCTAAAGCCCAGTGCTGCTTAAGGTGAATCCTGAGGGAATTTGTCCTAGGCCTGTACCCCATCTGCAATTACTGGAACTTTCTCACTTTCCTGAGGGAATCCACTTACAAGAACTTGCCTTTAAAAAAAGTATTCCTTTACTCTCCTTAGGCTAAAGATGATATACCACTAAGAAAAACTGTCAGCAATGACTCAAGCTCTTCTAGCCTCTGGTTTAACCGATCAAGTGGTCTGGCGATAAAGCTTCGAATACTAACCATCGACTACGGCACGACCTTCCGTGAAGTCAAACATGACGCTAACGACAACAGTAAGCTTCCAAAAGACGTGACTTCACAGATTGTCCTAAGGGAATTATGCAGCTCTCCAGTTCCGGACTATTACCGGATAGATTTAAAGGAATCTTCTGAAAACGTGCAGATTATTAAAGGACAACCGAACACTCCTTGCCCAAGGTATGATGGGAAGTTGAAAACTCTGCCGACCCAAGGAAATATACTTTCGTGTAATGGCGCTGAAAATCCCGTCGTTAGGCTATTTGGCGTCGAAAACAGGAACCAAGACTATTGGAAAGAAGAGAGTTCCAAAGCTTGTCACACACTAAGGAACGATTGCAACAAATGTCGCAATGAATGTACGATTAGTTCCTTAAAGAACCCTGTCTGCTCTCTAACCAGGAGCAATACCTTACATGACTCGAAGCAAGAGTATGGAGAGCACTTTATGTATTGCTTTGATTGCTGTTTCCGAGAGAACTGCACCTGTTCGAGCTGTGCGTGTACGCATTACAAATCTTCATGCATCGATTCACAGGTCACTTGCGTTGGGGAAAAACAGTTCATCATTCCTATCATGCCTGTATTTTCCAGTGGGGGACATTTCAAATGTCACGTGAAGTTATCGAGAGGTCCCGTATTCGAGTTCGAGGCGTCTCTATGGAAAGATGGAAAGTTTTTGAGGAAAATTCAAGAGAAACGCGACAAGAACTATACCCAAGAAACTGGTCGAGAAACGACAAGCTACGACTATGGTTACATAGTTTTAAGACATTCCTCCAAGATCAGAAATAACTTGGGAACTTTTTTGATGATAAGTGGCAAAGTTGGAGAGTCAAACTACAGTGTGGGCTGGTATAAAACCGAACAAAAATCAGAACCACACAACACCACCGACAAGCTTTTTATTCAACCTACAGAACCTTTTAAAATAAACACGAACAGTTGGCCACAAGATAACTGCCAAACTTTCGACGCAGAGAAATTTTTGGTAATCTCACCCAAAGCATCAATAAATAACTTTGAAGAGCTAACACAAGTTACGGCAAAAGTAGCTCATGAGGATAGTGGACGAGTGTATAAAGTATTCAACAACTCAGGCTCGCAAGAAGTCCATGTTGAGGTCCCATCTGAACGCTCCATACTGCAACATGTGTATCCAGGGACGGTTATATTGAATGATAACTCGTTTGCTGGAAAGCTTTTGAGAAATAGGACATTCTGGACCATACGTTTAACTGGACGAGTCAGCACCTGTCCAGGGTTCTTTGTGGCGAGGCTGACGGATCAAGACCGACCAGATGTAAACGTTTATTACTATGACATTGGTAAGTTCCGCCATTACTCCTTTACGAGGTGGACAAATGCAGAGAGGAAGGGGTTGAAGGCTATTCCAATTTCAAAGTGCTTTAACAGAGCACTCGATATTTTGTTCTAAAGAAGCTTTCTATTTATTTCATGAAAAATTTCCAAAATTGTTTCGAGAAAAGCCGTCCATGTGATCATAATACTCAAAGGGTTAAATTAACAGATAATTCGAAACTCAAACCATGAACGTGCTGTCAGTTTCCTTGAGCGCTAGTGCACCAGTAGAAGAAAATGCGCAAATTCCTATGATGTAATCCTTGGATTGTAACAAGAATCCCTCAAATATTTCTTCACAGCCCATCTGTTGCGAAAAATATTTGAAAATAATTCATTTAGACTTGTTTTTATTGTCACTTAATTTTTCAGCAATAAAAAATGAAGACTGTCTCTTCCAAGTGGAATTCAATCTTCCCTCTGGTGGTGACGCAAACTTGATCGATAAACAGTTTGTTGTTCGCCTAACAGACTCCCGCAAGACTTTAAAACTCATCCTCGTTAGTCCAAGAAGGATACCTGAATTTAAACCACCTGACAATGACGAAACTTTTGATCTGAAAAAGCTAGAAGTCTTTATTCCATTTGGTGGGGCAGCAGGAGGGATGTTTCTCTTCTTTCTAGCAATTCTTATTTACGGTTATAAAACACGCCCAAAAGATAGCTACCACCGTGATCGGGATAATGAACTACATTTCAGGCATATCTTGTTTGTCGTCTGGTTTGTTGGAGTAAGACTTGTTAAGAGTTTCCTTTTAACACTGACTGCCCTGTTTGTAATTCTGACTGCTATTCACCATACGAATGTAAAGACACTCGAGAAATACAAGACCTTTCACGAGCAACAGGCAAAACTGGAAGAAAAGTTTCTTCAGGAGATGGACAAGCACAAAGCACAAGAAATAGATCGCCAATGGTCGCTTCTTAGTGAAGGAAAGGCAGCTTGTGAGAAAAATTTAAAGGCGCTGAACGTGTTCTTAGAGAAACATTTCAGAGAAATGAGAGAAAGACAGGAAGAAGAGATGAAGCGGAAATCTATCCTGTACGCGGCGGAGGATCGGATCAAGAAACAATTTTCTGCGTCAAAAGCAAAATTCGAAAAGGAGAGGAAGCGACTTAATGAGCGACTGGAGGCGTATAGTAATGAAATAAATACCAGGATCTCACAGATTCAAGCGAAAATAGAGAAAAGCTTTTGGTTGAAGGTTGCTAAAGGACTTTACAAGTCTTTGGATGGTCTATCGAGAGCTTTTGGTGGAGGAGGTATCAAAAAACCTTTTATCGAGTGGGTCGGGCTATCGGTCAATTTTCCGAGTGTAAAGGCAAAACTTCCATCGTTTGACGACATTTTCCAAACTTTCGACAGTGAACCACCCATCCCCTCAAAAAGAGCACAAGACATCAATCTCACTATGTGGCAGAGAAAAACTCAGATAAGCGCAAAAGTAAATATTCAGCAAGTATCAGCTCCAAACGTTAACATATCACGCAACCTGCGTATAGAAAGAGCGGAAGAGTTGTTAGCTTTAGAATGGATCGTGCAGCTCTACAGGAACGGGATTTTCATATCTGTATTGATTGTTTTTGATGTACTGTGGTTTGTTTATCGGCATTGTAGAACATACCAGTTGGCGATTGTGCTTCTACATGGCTTTCCGAAAGTGTTCAAGCTGGAAGAAATACAAAAAAAAGAGGAGAAAAAGGAGGCCAAGAAGAAGAGGAAGGAAGAAAAGGCAAGGATAAATAAACAAAAAAACGAAGCAAGAGGAAACGAAAAAGAGACAAACGTTGATGAATTTAATATGAAGAATCAAAATCTCAAGGATTCTTCCCGCCCACCTCGATTTATTGACTCTTCCCAAGAAAGTCTATTGGATCAAAGTCAAGATTCGCTTCCAAATGTTAGAAGTGACCAGCCTGACAAAGAGATCACTTTGCAAGAGTCAAAAAGCAAGAGAGCCACTCGACTTGGACTAAAGGGGCTTGACAATCTTAATAGGGTTTTTCTGAAGTTTCTGGTCAAACTAAAACAGCTTAATTATCAGGTAAGTAATTCATATCGGTGTATATATAATTATTATTATTTTATCTGTAGTCCCTTAAGGGAGCTTAATCCCCAAAATATGTAATGGTACTTTTTTTCATCTGCTGTAAACTTCTAAGCTCACCGCGTAAGCCCTTGCTCTCTGGCACGGCCTGGGAGTTGGTAACCAAATCAAGGGGTTACAAGCTCAAGACAGGAAACAAACTAACGTATTGATTCGTCATGATCAAAACTAATTTAATCTGCTGCGCATTGATTTCTTGACTTCGCACCCCCTTGCTCTCAAGAATCTTATTGACTTGTACCTTTGTTTCTCGTTATAGATCAACAACACAAATTTTGTTCCGATGTGTTTGCTGTTGGTAATTGCCATTTTGTCGGTATATGTTGTCATAATAACTGCTAAGCACTCCATGAACGTCGAAACTATGGAAATTGTTGGATATTTCGACCTTAAAATGGCACCGCTTCTGACCATGAGGAAGATTGTCAACACAAGAATAACATCAAATGCTTTTTTGGTTAATGACGTCCATATTCCGTACTACGAGAACAGGTAATTAATCATCTCCTCTCCAACCGTGAGGGATAAAAATGAAGATAGACCGTCCAAACTAACAGAGTTTTTCCCATAAAGTTGCATCGTTTTGCTTTTGTTCAAGTGTTGGAACTAAATTCTTTTTCCAAATTTAGTCGATTGAAATGGAAAAGTTGTTTGGAATCGATCAGTTTTTTATTCAAAATTGAACGGATTTTTCGATAATAAGTTCTCTTGACACCCGTTATGGCAGAGTGCTATGCGTTCTCTTTGTCGAAGAAGATGACTAGTTGCTCTTAATACTGAAAAAAAAAATGAAAAAATCAAAATAGATTTGTTAAGGGAAATATCATTGTTGAAAAATGACAAAGGCGATGTATCATTTCTTAGTCAAACTTTGACATTGTCGTAAACAAAAACACTACAATTTTGAACACGGATGTTAGTCGGATTGTGGATGCAGCCTGGCACTCCTTCCCATGATGCAATCTGTCCCTTCCTCCGACCATCCAGCCATAAATCCTCGATCTGTACCGTTGTATGGTTCGAAAGTTTGTTCATTCGGCTCATTTTTATCTTCTTTTTTTTTATACTTTTTCTTTTTCAGAGTGAATACAAGAATCTCGTTCTACAGAAAGAAGGCTGAAATGTACCAAGCGTATCAATGCGCAAAAGCTGACTTGCATAATGAAGAGTACTGCTCGTGGGCTCAGGAGCCTGGAATGGATTGTGATGGAGTGGGACCGTATAACAAGGACTTTTTAAACAAGCTGACGCAGTTTGAATGTAACTTAGAACCGGTTATTCCACAGAGGTGAGTTGCAATCCAATAATTTTCATGAATTTGGGTTGGAGAGCGCAAGTATTATCCTCGAGTTACTTTCAATAAACTCTCGTTTCATGCCTTAATTCGTGTAAATAACAATTTTTTAGTTCATTAGCAACAACGTAGGGGATGGGGATTCAACGCCATCCAGGATAGCCACCGGAATGGCCATTGAGACTTGTTTCTTTTCATTTTGTTGGAGTTTTCGCCAATTTTAGCAAATAAGTAGAGCTTTTATCTACATTCTTGTGGTTTGAAACAGTTTCAGTTTTATGAATGCAGCTTTTCGTTCATTTCAGTGGAAACCGCGAAGCTTCCTTTTATTTTTAATATTACGCCTCTTAACCCATTAGCCGTCCTCCACCAAACTGTACGAAATAAGTATGAGTGATGCAGAAATTAAAACGATGTTAAGACGACAGATACTATTGGAAGAGCAAGCTAATTTTTCACGTGCAATGTTTTTGTTTTTGTTTTTTTTTTAGATTTACCAAGTTCGACCGTTTTCGTTACAAAGAAGTCCACAAAAAGGCTCTATCTCCTTATTTGGCAGCCCTTCGAGGAGTTATCTTGGACACGTTTTACATGTTTTTGGTTATCATTGGTATTGTCATCCTCTCCAAAGTACTGGAAATCGCATTGTTTTTCTTGCTTAAGAGATTCGATCTAGTACGCCAAGTTAAACACTATCAAACGCACCGAGACCTCAAGGGGGAGTTAAGTGTTCCACATTGTATCAAATATCCTTCAAATGAGAGCATCATTAGGCATGTGGGACCTCTTCACATGTCCAACGAGATGATAGCGACGTTTGGGTCGAACATCCACGAAGGAAAAAGTATCCTATGGATCAAGTGAAGAATAAAATCGTTTTGATCCCAATATTTCTGACCATGGACTACTTTTAAACTAGAGCTATTAAATGAAATATCGTGGTTGTAAATATTATTGAAATTTCTTCTTTTTAAAAAGCAATTGAAATGTAGTGTTAATCCTTGTCTATTTTTGATGACATCGCTAGGCAACGATTGACACTCTTTTCTAAAGAACGTTTGTATGGCAAAATCGTGCAATCCTGATTAAGTTGTCAAGTAGGTACATTTGGAGAAACTTAAAATGTCATTCCTAAAGACCCCGTGAAGAAAAAAAAATATCCTAACGTTAAAAGAACATGAACCTTGAAAGCTTTAGCCTGCAGGCCCGCATCTTGTATCAGAGCTCACAGATTATCAACGAATGGCACAAAAAACCCTTTCTGAAAGATGTGTTGAGTTTCGTGGAAAAATATTAATTGAAAATTGAAATTAGCAAGTGAACGGAAAATTAAGAAAGAAATAGAGAATAAACGAGTTGAATTGAATTGTAGTAAGGAACTATCCACACAAGTATCCATGGAAATAAGAAGTTTAGCGGGTTGTCTATCTATGCAACATAGCCTTCTGTACTGAACTGTTTCATGCGAGAACTGGAAGCTGCGCTTTGGATGTGTCGTCCATTAGATAAAATTGACAATTTTACGACTAAAAATGGGTCATCATCACGAAACGCTGGCCTACACTCAAACCTTTGGTACGTCTATCAGAGATCATTTTTTTTGCTAAAAAATGTAAACAGTTAGGTGTAGTTCTTAGTAGATTGCTCTACAAAAGGGGTCTTCGTTAAACCCTTCTCGAACTTCTTAACGCATTCAGAAAGGATTTCAAAGCGTCTAAAAAGTCTTGCTTCATGAATGTACACAGAAGGGGATTACACAGCGCGCTCAAAAAGCGAAGGAAAATGATGACAGGGACAATTATGTTCTGTGCGCTTCGCTCTATGTTAAGAAGCCCTATTACTTCCAAATCGTCTATAATCGCCCATAAAAAATACAAAAACAGGCCAAATATGAAGACTGCGATCATTGCAATGAACAAGAAAGCAGTTTTTTTTTCATTCACTTTTCGTCTCCTTGCATTAAACCGTGACACCGTGTGTCCAGACAAATCGCTGTGGATCTCCTTGCATTGCCAGCGAAGATGGATGAAAAGTTTCGTATAGATACTTATCATCAAGAAGAGGGGCACCATAACGAGGGCAATCATGTGAAAGAAGTCGTATCCGAGGTCAAAGCGGATCATTGTGTCATCATCCGTTGTGGCGTGTAGAACCCAAGTTAGCTGCACCAATGAAGCCAGTAGTGAGAACACCCACGTGAATGCCAACGTCCAAGCGAGTCTTACTTTAGTGACGATGGACGGATATTGTAAGATCTTGATTATTCTAATATAACGGTCGACGGATAAAATAATAAGGTGGGTCACGGATGAGAAGGCCAGGAAACGATTTGAGATGTCCATGGCGATGCAGACATCCTGTATTAACGTCTCTGTGCACGCAATCACCATTGGCACTGCCACCACGCCAGTGAGAAGGTCACTTACTGCGAGACTGGCAAGAATTGTGTTGGAAGTGGTGCGGAGATGTCTTTTTTTCCAGATCAGCACCAGGATCAGGCTGTTAGCAGCAATGGCAGATATTGAAAGCAATCCAAAGAGAACTAATGCTCCTCTGTAGTCGCTTCTGTTCACATCTTCCTTGCCAAGGTTGTTTGTTGCGTTACTGCCATTTTTGTTATCCATGTTAATTATTTTATTTTTAACATTTATCTGTTCTCACCTTTGTGCAGGTATTTGTGCAAAATGGATTTATTAAAACAGAAACAACTTGAAATGGCTGCTCTCGTGATTTGGGCTTAATCAGAGTTCAGGACCAGCAATGTTCTGTTAATGGCGTTGAATTTCTACCAGACCCGTCAAAGTCAACGTTCTTGCTTTTGTTATTAAGATTCTTGGTTTCCACTAAATTCAATTACAGCTTTGTGTCTCACCGCTGTAAGGTTTAAATTGAAGTAAAAGTCATTAGTATACAACAACTTACGCCGAAAATTTGAATAATAATGTTAATTAAACAGATAGAGAAGCACAACCTAAATTCTGCGATAATTCGCCGGTAACAAAACGAAAAAGGGCCTGGGACTGAAACTGCGATCGCAAAGCATGCATGGATTGTTTGGCTGGACAGAAATCAAAATGGCGTCCATTGCGAATGATAGTAAGCTCTCAGAAACTAAAGAAGAAGGCTTTATTTTAACTGAAGACGATATACCTGGGGCTGTTTTGCCAAACAGAAATGTAGAGGCATGCAGTGTGGTACAGCTAAAGCGCTGGCTGATTTGTAGGGGAGCGAAAACAAGTGGTAAAAAGTCAGCTTTAGTCAGCAGGTAAAGGGTCAAATTCAGCTTTTTCGTAGCTCTTTCTTTTGCTTACATAAAAACCATTAATATTTCTGATGGAAAACATATTCACTTAAAGATTTTATACATTAAATCGTCTGCTTAGAACTCCATTAACATTATTTAAAATCGTTTTGCATAGGGTAAAACACTATGTAGAAAATGGCCTTGACAAGAAATATCTTAGAGACCCCGACAACGGCGCTAATATTATGAAGAAAAAAGAGCCTCAACAAATGGAAAATTTCCAAAAGAAGGTTTCAACTCTGATCTCAATGCTCTCCCTAAAGTATCATTTACACGATCGTTACATGATCGACTCAGTTGACTCAAAAAAACAACTCTCAACTGCTAAACCTCTTGTAAAGGGGTTCAATTTTTATAAGTCTGGGAACGTACATTCTATTCACCATTTGAAGCCCACTACATCACCAACAAAGGCACTTGCAGATGTCTTACAGTATAATAAACAGTATCAGAGTTTTGCAATGAATCAGGGTTTAGAGAAAGAAGAAGAAATTGAAAGATTATAATTATTTTACATCTAAGCATAACTCAGGCTACAGGAATCTTTCAGTTGAGCCATGTGGGCTTTTTATAAGCCAAAGCCATGGTTTCTTAGCAGCCACCCCTGATGGTCTAGTGTCAGATCCTCATGTTTCCCAACCACTTGGACTTCTTGAAATGAAATTGGTACAGTTAAATGACAGTGAGAGTCTTAGACAAGGTCTGCTTCAAAGAAGAATATGTAAGGACTGTGGTGACAACCATCTAAAGATGAACACTGGACATAAGTATTTCTATCAAATACAACAACAGATGTTTGTAACCCAGCGTAAATGGACAGATTTTGTAGTCAAGGGATCAACAGGAAATGAGCTATACATTGAGCGAGTCAACTTCAACTCTGAGTTTTGGGAAAGTGTTCTTCCTAAACTTTGCAATTTCTTTCAACAACAAGTTTTACCAGAGATGTCATATCCTCGAGTCAAATATGGGTTAGCAAGATGTCAGTTGAGATTTGAATAGACTGTGCCTAAATTGATTTAAATGAATTCATTTAGAACAGTGTAAAAGAAAACCTTGCAGTCTTGAATATAAGTTGCACAATTTTAATTATCTTGGACATAATGGGTCTACATGTAGTGTAACCTTTAAAAAGGCTAAAATACTAACAACAATAACAGGCACTATTTATTGAAATAAGTGGTTTTTAAATACCTGTGCAGTTATTGTAATTTCAAAGTTTAATAAACCACAATAGTTGTCACTGGACAAAAGAATACAAAAGAGGCAAAGTATAATATATTTAGTTATAGTTAAAGTTAATGCATCAAAGTGTAGACTGCACATGTGTGGAAAACAATTTAAAGATTTATCAGATCAAAACGTCAAGCAAATATATTATCATGTAATGTATTATATTCTGCAGCTTTTGTTCATGTTTAGAATAAATAGTTTTGTTTCATTTTGCTTTGTGCTCAATCCTGAACAGTTTAATGACAGTACCATATATTTAAAGTGGTCTCTGTCAATTGCATTTGTTTTATAGCAAGACTAAAAACTATTCTGGTCCAGTGATATCATTAATTTGTCACTACATACTAAATATTTGTCAATAACTATTTAATATCATTTCAAAGTTCGTGTTTTTGCTCTATCTTACACCTTGGGTGCATTTCATTATAAGAGTGAAACATGCACTAATTTGCACAATTTTGCTTTCAAAGTGTTTCACACATCAACAATGAAATGCACTCTACCATGAACATGTACAAAATCTAATTAGTCTATTAAGGGAGGAAGAAAATTTGATAGAGCAGCCACCACAATTAATATATCAGAGGCAACAGGTGACATTGAAATGGGAATTTTACGATCAAAAATATGCCAGTTTTTAATACGTTCCATTAACCTTTCCACGTGGACACGGAGACTTGCAATTGTTTTATTATGTTCTGTTTCTTTGGTAGAAAATTGCTTTTTGTCTTTTAGAAAATTAGGTTTAACTAGCACAACTCCAACTGATGCTAACTCATCTTGACAATTAAACCCCTTATCAGCCATTACCTCGTCACCTCTTTTAAGTTTGCCAAGAAAGCCACTTTGCATTGTTATTTCTAGATCAGAAGTACTTCCTGGAAATAGTTCACTAACAAAACAGACAACTCCACTTGGTGTGATTCCTAATAAAGCTTTCATTGTGTTAGTGCTCTTATAGGATGAATAGCAGGCAGATTGGGCATCGAGTGACGATGGCTTTTCCATCTGGAACTCAGTGCACTCTACAATGACAACAGTGTCAGGACAGATTTCTTTGAAGACTTTCGGCATATGAAATTTCAAAACATCATCAGGTGGTATCTGTATAAGCGGCTCGAACTCTGACCTCAAAAATCTCAGCCATGAGTTAGTTATCCTTGAAACAGACATGTGAGAAACATTAAACCTATGGCCCAAGTCTCTTTCAAACAATCCCAGTCGTATTCGCACCAAAGTCATTATGAATTCCTGGAATGTTTATAGTGCTCTAGGTCTGCCAGGTTGTTTTGTACTTTCTAAGTCACAGTATATTCTTTCATAATTGTAGCTTATATTCTTAGCTGAGTCTTTCACTAGGTTGTAACACATCATTAACATTTCATAATCAGAGAGTCCAGTGTAGAATGCAATGTCATCAGGATTATCTTTGTACTTCTCAATATTAAAAACTTCACTATTACTTGAAATAAAGTTCAAATGTTTGTTTTCTTTTGTTAACTGGTCACATTTATCTCTCAATTGTTTGTTTTCCTCTTTGAGTTTAGATACCTCATTCAATACCTCTTCCAATGATGCCAAATCTATGTCAGTTTGAGTGTGTTTAGAAAGATATTGATGTTCTTCTCGAAAATTATTCAGTATTTCCTCAGGTTGAACTTCTCTCGTATAGTATGGATCCTCGTGCAGTGATTCAGTCGAGGTCGGTGTTGTTTGGGTTACAATGTTGGCATTGTTGTCAGAGTAACTGCTGTCAGTATTAGTAGTAGATACAACAACTGATGCGACTTTCCTTTTCTTTGGCACAAAGTCATGCTTAAAGATTTCTCTCCTTGATTTTCTCTCTTTTATCCATGGAAATATTGTTGGCAGATGAATTCTGCTGAGTTTTTGGCCACCTTCGAAGTGTTCAGAACAGATTCTCGTTTGGGAAGAATCCAGCTTTAGCGATTCGTTTCTAAGCGATACTTTGTAGTATTTCCGAGCCTTTTCGCACTTGGGAATCCTGTAATATTCCAGATTTGGTTTGTTTCTAAAGTTGTTGGTACACTGGGGCACACAACAGTTAAAATGATGTGGCATTTTCCTTCAAAACAGCTTTGAATTAGTCTCTTTTGAACAGGATAAATTACAACACATGTATGTCAACATATCTTCCTGTCCAGCCAATCAATCCATGCATGCTTTGCGATCGACATTCGGTCCCAGGCCCTTTTTCGTTTTGTTACCGGCGAATTGCTAAACCAAATGCTAAATATACAAACTAAAATAAAGGAAACATAAGTACTATTCGTCCGTACAGTTACATGTAACAAGCAATTTTTCTATAGCTGTGCACCAGCTATCATCGATCGTTTAATAAAAAATGATGCCTAGAAATTGTGTTCGATGCATGCGCACAATATCACGAAATTATGTATCATGCGAACTATAAATTACCTCTGATCAGCCTTTTGGCTTTTTATACTGTAAAATAAATTACCCGAATCTCTCCACGAGTCTCCTTCGCGTTAAATGGCACTCTTAGACTTCCTCTCAAACTTTCTTCCAAGCGCCATCCTAGGTTATCATAATTATACGTCCCTTTTGCACTGTGTTTCGTGGCAAAGTTCTTAATAGATGCCAAGGGGATTGGAAGAGGTTTTGCAAGAATTCTAATGTGCGGAAAATTAAAATTAGCCCTGGTGTTTCGTGTGAAGAATATTTTCAAGACTACAATTATAATTTTTTTGATAAATCGATAGTTCGCTTCAGTTTTAAGAAAGCTTAATTATACTTTTTTTTGTGTTTTTTGGCTTTTTCCAGATGTAACTCCGTATTTTTTTTTAAATTCAGGACACATTCACCTTCAAAACAGCAAATGTTTTAAACATGTGTCTTTCATCTGATACAAATACATCTAAGTTTAGTCTAAGGCTATTTCGTACCTTGACGAATAAAGCTGTACCTAGCCTTTTCAAACTTTTCTTTCTGTAAAAATCCCTTGGTACACGTGAGACTGAATTGTAAAAAGAAGATTTTAATTGCGATTTATCTCTCTTGACCTGTTCAGTTATGACACACTATAAAAGACGAGGCTGGCGGTAAATGTACTTCCGGTGTTTATGGAGTCCAATTTTACCCAACAAATAAGACGACCTGTATTCAAAGTTCGAACTGATTTTGGTAATGCACTTTTTCCTTTGAAAATCACATGGGAAGAATATTCTACATTTTTGCATGATTTAATTAGCAAAAAAATATTAGAAAAAAAAGCTGAAAATAGGATATGAAAGAAAAAAAATATTTCTTCGCTGCAATTTTGTGAAAATATATTCCTGGGATCCACTTTAGAAATGATTCTTTGGATTCTTCACTAGTCTTAGACCGTAATGCAAAGTGTTTCAGTTTGGAAATTTTGTCTTGCAGAAGGGATCTACGTCTAAGTCTTAGCTTACGTCTCGAGAAAGCGAATGATTGGTCCTCGCATACGTATGTATTTATTCATGAAAGGGTCCGTGTTAGGTTACGCAAGGAACCATTGGAAATTTGAATCCGTGATAAGGAATAGTGTGGGGAAAAACCTTGGTAGATTTACAACGCTAAATATTCCGAAAATATGAACATTTTGCACGTAAGATTAATAAAACTTAGTCACTCCTTGTGTGTTCGTTGTGGAGTCTGTGACAGGAACAACAGTCACTATATTCCTGAATCAACTTTCCCTTGTGGATCGGGGTACTCACAGATATGTGGGATGCAGCAGTTTTTCTGTTTTGTGTGAATACAAATCTTCCGCGACACTACCTTCTCATAGTTTCGAGCGGGGAATTTTTTTCCTAAAAATGCTTACTTTTCCTCTTTTAAGTACGAGCAGGGAAGCCAAATATTAAGCCTTAAAGATGGTAAAAATCTCGCGGAAATCCAAGCAAAAGAACTCCCAAAGATAGGAAGTCTGTTCGCCATTTTGAAAAAAGCAACCAGGCCTGTAATCGGTGCAAAATTAGACCCAAGAGGGGTAGGGAAGAAGCGGTGAAATAATTTATAACTTGTAACGACGTTTCGTTCCGAACATAACAAGTAAGTATGCTAAATGCTGCATATGGAAAGTAGAAAAACAAAGAAATGTTTATACATGCATGTAGTATAAAAAAACGCAAAGTTCAGTGTCGGCTGAAGAAAATCTATCTAATTGGGCATAATTGATTAGGTCCTGTGAACGCTTGACACTATGGCCTGCCATTTTTGATACACCTGAGCATGCGTCTGTGAGTTTCCGCAGGAATACCTCTCAGAATATCGTGGGAGCAAAATTTCACCAGTTGTAGCTATCGAGAAAGAACCTGGGCACGTGGCTGTAATCATAGTGATGCCTTTGAACTCACGCTGTTCGAATTGACGGTCAAGTTAGTACCAGAGTTATCAGTGTTGTGAGCAGATTTGTGATCAAGACTGATACAAAACCTTAGATTTCGCATCTACCCAGCAAACCCGATGGCTAGCCAAGATGATGATATCATCTCAAACGGTAAGATGAATTGAATGTTGTATTGAATTTACCGAAGAGAATATTCTAAGCGGAAGCTGTTGAAAGGTGGGCAAACTTTCACGTAGTAGTGCCGTAAATTCCCGCATCTTTCTTGTGTTACGAAATAGGTAATAAACTTGTCCGTGCAGGTAATCGATCCTAAGTCTCGAAAGATTCCTTCAGAAAATGAGATAAACTTGTTACTCTTGGAGCGAGTTTTCTCAAAGCCAAAATAGCAAAGCGGCACGGTTCACTGACCAGCTTCCACGTTGTCGATCAATGCTTTTATAGATAACCGGGATCTTCTCCAGTTTCCTTTCCTCGTCGGCCAAGGATCTTCATTTCTCCATCGGATTGGCAACCAACAACAATTTCAAAACGTAGATAGTGCAAATTTTGCTTCGTAATGATTACTCCGAAGTTCTGAGAATTTCACGGTAGTGATTTCTGAGAATTAGAAAACATGAAATAGAATATTATTCTCAAACTTGATTCAAAGTCATAGTTTTTTTTTCTCTGATATGAAAAACCGATCGCGAGTTATCATGATAGAGAAGCATTGCATTATTTGTTGTTTGTTTACTGATAAATTACCCAATCTAACGATGGGTGAGTACAGCGTCATTAGTTATTCCATTCAGTTGAGAAGATTTCGAAATGCATCGGCGCGTGATAGTTGTTGACCTCGATGTTACAATTTTCTCTCTGTTTTTCAAAGTTATAGCTTCAACAGAAGTCACAGCGATGATAAATCGAGAATATTTGACTGAAATCATGTCGTTCAGTCGAATGGTAATTCACGGCAACACCAGATTTCTGGACACTTCTTTAGTGCGGTGACATAATAAACTCAACTCGGTCAAATCATTTGGGCTCACCTACAAACACGATCATTAGACATGAACCTAACGCCAAAACATGTATTAAAATCTGATTAAAAAGAGAAGGAACTACTGGCACTTGTGTGTGAAAAGTACAGTGATGCAGAGTGAGACACTTTATGTTTGCTTGAAGCTATAGTAACCCTCTGCACCCTAACATCAGTAAAGGTATTCTCCGTACTGTTCCCCATACATTCCTTAAGGTGCGGACAAGGAGAAGTTGCGTAATAATTAACAGGTTCTTTTGCTGCTTATAATTTTTTTATTCTCATGACCTTACTACATGATTTAAGGGTGATATTGTAAGAAGAAATTAGATGCTGGTCTCTCCTAGGGGTTAAAGGAATAAATGAATCTATTACAGAACAACTCCGGTGGACATCTGGTGACCTTGATGGGGAAGCTCATGGAACGGGTGATTTGGAAATAGTGGAATGGACAGGTTTTAGAGGAATCAAAGAGTCTGTGGAAGTTTCTTATTCATTTGGTAGGAAAAATTTGATGCAAGTATTTAAAAAAAATGACATATTTTTCCGAATATCTCGCAATAAGTTCTCATGCCCAGTGAAAAGAAAAGCACAGTGATGCAGAGTGAGACACTTTATGTTTGCTTGAAGCTATAGTAACCCTCTGCACCCTAACATCAGTAAAGGTATTCTCCGTACTGTTCCCCATACATTCCTTAAGGTACGGACAAGGAGAATTTGCGTAATAATTAACAGGTTCTTTTGCTGCTTATAATTTTTTTATTCTCATGACCTTACTATATGATTTAGGGGTGATATTGTAAGAAGAAGTTAGATGCTGGTTTCTCCTTGGGGTTAAAGGAATAAATGAATCTATTACAGAACAACCCCGGTGGACATCTGGTGACCTTGATGGGGAAGCTCATGGAACGGGTGATTTGGAAATAGTGGAATGGAAAGGTTTTATAGGATTCAAAGAGCCTGTGGAATATTCTGATTCATCTGGTAGGAAAAATTTGATGCAAGTATTTCAAAAAAATGACATATTTTTCCGAATATCTCGCAATAAGTTCTCATGCCCTGCTTTGTGAAGGAGGTCTGGTTGGAAACACACTTCGCCGAGGATGTCAATGACAATAACCGTAACGATGATAGTGACGATGACACTGATAATGACGTCGATGGTGATGTCGATAACAACGACGATAACGATGATGATAACGATGACGATAACGACAATGACAAAGATGACGTTGATGATGACGTTAAACATTTTTACCCTCTTTTGTGTGATTGTAATTTTGAACATTAACACCATCAAAATTTATGTGATGTAAATTTATTGTTTAGATGAGGAAGATTTGCATGAAACTTTGAGAAAACTTGCAGTAGCGATGCCAGATGAAGGTCAGAAAAACGATATATTAAAGAATGATGTAGAAAAAAATTATATGAAACACTTGGAATATGAAAGATATGTTCTGTTAAGCACTGCATCTTTTCAGATTACAATACTCATAATTTTTTTTTGGCTACTTCTTTCTGTAAAAGAGAAGTATGGATTATATAAAGATTGTCTTGGTCTTTGAACTTTCTTTTCACCTCTTCCTAAAGAACCGGAGGAACTTAGGTAACAATTAGTTTCAAAATCGTTCCACGAGAAGTTAATTAACGAAGTCAATAACAGTTATATTCGGAGGGAACGATGTGAACATTCTTGTAACTTTCTTAAATATTTGCATTTAAGAGGGCATGGCAGCAATGTTATCCGAAGAGTCTGTTTCTTCTGGACTGGCTGGTTCAACCGGACCAACTTCTGGTTCTTCCCAGCTGCCGGTGTTCTTATCCTATCAGCACAAATCAAAAGAACAAGTTAAAGTGATCAAAAAAGCACTTGAGACGGTGGGGCTTTCTTGCTGGATGGATGAATCTAGTATCCGCCTTGGAGAAAAATTGACGCAGAAGATTGAAAATGGAATAAGGGAGTGCAAGGTACAGACAACATTTTCTTAAGTCTCTGAAGGAAAAAAAAGGTAAATTGATTTACCTGTCCTTCCCTATAGCCAAAATATAGTGAGAGAAATATCAAATAGTAAAAACCTTGATTGTATATGACGTTCAACTCAGACTTGTAAGCTCAGCTATTACACGGAGCACGAGACTTGACGAGAGTTGTGTTATATTTGACTAAAGAACGAAAAAGAGTAAAAACGAAAACAACGAAAAAGAAAGATTAACAAACAAAACGCCCGAGATTCCTTATTGAAACGCGGGCTAGTTTAAAAATCGGTTGTGGGAAAGGTCTTTAACACGTCCATACATGTTTCGATCATTAGGTCTTCATTAGCTGCGTGACAAAGGATTACTGCGTCTCGGAAATGTGCAGACGTGAAGCCAGTTTAGCCCGCGAATGTAAGAAGCACATCATACCTTTGGTGTTTGAAGATATAGATCCGTGGCCACCTGAAGGCCTTGGTATTATCTTTACTGATCTTCTTTACCTTAAAGTGCCGGGAGGCAAACTCGACAATTTAACCTTCGGAAAACTTTCAAGAGATATTTCGGACTTTGTTTAACCTTCCTCCTGAACCAAAAATGCAAAACATTTATTTGTTCAGATGGGATCCTTTCCACCATACTTTGGTTTTTTGGTTTTTACATTTGTCTGAGTTTCCAAGAAAAGTATCGAGTTAAAATTCTAGACATAATTACATCATTTCATGACATATACATAACAATTGCTTATCTTAGTTGCTATGGGATTCCGCTTTCGACTTTCGTAAAGGTAAGAGGAGGGAGTGGAGTCCAACTCGGTCTGTAATCGGTACGAGTGACAAAACGTCACGATTATGATTACAGACTGAATTGGACAACACGAAGTCTTCTTACTAATCGATCATAAAAACTAACATTTCCAAGAAAAGAAGAATAGCCAGGTTATAAAAGAAAGAGAAGGGAAAATGAAGGGAAAAATTTTTATAGAACACATCCGCTATTTTTGTTACACTTTTCAAATATTGTAATTTTAGTGAGCAATAGAAACTCGCATCAGTTCATATTTAAGCAAGTACATTGTAAAGCTTTTCGATTACATAGACGACTGCATGCCGATTGCATTGATTACGAAGTTGAGTACGCTAGAGGTCATATCAGTTGTTGGCCTGACCTAGTAATAAAGTCTATTGTGGAACCAAAACGCTGTCATATTCTTGACGACCTTAAAAAGCTCGCTGGAAGTAGATCACCGCGTACAAGGAAATCGTGACCAAAAAAAAAAAAGAGGAAAACTTAGATTGAACGCTCGTAAACGCAGAGAATCTGAGAGTATAAATCGTAACTTGTCAGCGGCAGTACTACATGTAAAACCCAGTTGCAAGCAATTTGAACGACATAGGCATTTCTTTACAAATAGCAGATTCGGGCAGCTATCATTTTCTTGTGACAGATAAGATATTTCGAATCATCTGGAAACTGTCAGAAAACAGGTAGAAAATTTGCACAAGATATGCGGAGAGACTTATCACCGCCGCAGTGCACCGAGTCAATCAATGTTTCCTTCCATGTCTTGATAAAGAAAATCATAACAAAGTTCGAAACAAAATATTTAATGAAATCATAATGTCATAATTCCACCCTTCAAACGACTTATTATCCACACGTAAATCGCAACTTGTCACTTGAACGAAACTCCCCATGGTTAATATGAAATATGGATTGCTTCATGTCCTTCAGGAAAAAGAACAGCGATTTCATCACCATTATTTTCCATACTTTTCTCCCAGATATCTTTTACAAGCTTAAAGAAAGATGAAGATAACGCAATCTCCCAGTGATTTACACGAGAGGAAGTCAAAGGTCTCTTTAATTTTCCCCTGAGGTGGCCGGCTCACTAGGAAGAAACAGGAGATCGTTCGGTCCAATAACGTTAGTCTGTAGAGATTATCAAGCCAATAACTGAGAAGATTGTGCCCTTTGGTTCATCAGTGACAGCATTAATTATTTCAGATCTATATTTCTCGGT